TTCCAAATGCTTGACTACCCAAAGAGGAGCCTATTTTGCAAAAAAATATATCAAGAGTTCATTCTGGAAAAACTTAATAGGAAAAATGTTTATTAATAGTGACAAACCTCAGATAATATGAAAGCCTTTGACCAATGAGAATGATTGTTCGCTCAGTTTGGGATCCCTTTAAATAGTCAAAATAAAAAAATATAAGTAAATGTATAGTAGGCTGTTTGCAAAATAGAGCAACACAAAGAATAACCAATTGGATTTAAACCTCCGTTTGTAGAAATTTTGTTTTGGAGTAATTGTGCTCAAATATTTTATCATAAATAGAAGAGTCCTAATGAACGTTTGGCAACGATCACAATTCAAACTCCTGACAAATATTCACTCTCCGAAGTGAGGTCTTCATTTTTACCCCCCCCCCCCCCCCCCCCCCCCCTTANTTTTTTCCCCCCCCCCCCCTCCTCCCCCCTATTAATGTCATACTGTATCCCTCTTCCTAAATGAAATTTTAGTAGGACTGTTAACTAGTTATTTCTATTCGAATGAGTGGTGCAAACCTTAGTAACCTTAAAATTCCTCTTTCCTTATGAAAGGTACCAATCGCTCCAAGTTTTAAGACCCAATATCCAAATGAAGTAACAGAGCGGGCTCTAGATATCGTGAAGTTGAAATCACCTAGATTCCCTAGAATTAAGTCTTTCAAAGTTAGCCTTTTGCAAATGGAACATATCGGTTTATGTCCCCTAAAGCGAAATTATGCAATTCAAAGTTTCTGGAATTTAAATAAAGTACGATTTTATTACTTGATTTCATACACTTTTAACACAGATTTATTCTCTTACTAGACTATTCCTTTCCTTAGCGTGCTCAGATGCTATCTCACGATAGAAAACTATGACTTCTGGTATTGCCATTGTTACTAACAGCAATTATGGCATTTAAGGGGTTATTCTGGTCTAGAGACATGAATCTTAGGTAATTTTTGAAGTGCTGTAAAAAAGCAAGCAATATTTTTTTTAATCAATTTTTTCATACATTATTTATTCACATTAGAAGCATACAAGAAAATAAAAAGTAAAAAATTCAAAATTCCGTTAGTTATCAGGTGATGGAGTGGGGCGTCTCAAAAATTTGGTGCGTGATCATACCCACGATTTTAACTCTCCTAGCAATCTGAAATCAAAAAAAATAAAAAAGATTATCAATCTACAATTATGTCGCAATGTCTGGAACTACGGACAAGTTAAATTTTTTTTACAAAATGGCGACTGCCCAAAGAAAAAATTTTTGTACCACTTTTTGAACATTCTTCGATTTTTTAAAAATAGTAAAATTAAAAAATTACGGATGCCCGTAGTTCCGGACGTAGAGAAGTCCCTAAAGAAGACTCTTAAAATTTCAAGTAAATCAGTTCGCCAGAACCTGAGAAATCGTGGGTATCACATTCAAAAAGACAGTTCTAAAAAAAAACGCGTTTAAAGTTTCAAGTCAAATTTTTGCAGTCTAAGTCATAAAATTATATTTTTAACTTACATTTATTTAATCTGCCATTGCTGCTGCATTCATCGGACCTTCTTCGACTTCGTAAAAACTATTTTCGGAATTCCTGTTTTCTATTCGAGCAGTTCTGGCCTCCTTTGATGCGCTGGATGCTCGTATCGAGCAGTTCTGGCCTCCTTTGATGCGCTGGATGCTCGTACCTCGGAGCGCTCAAAACGGGCGTTGTCTTGTCTGATAGCAAATGCATGCGCTTCTGGACCAATTTTCACTCCCACAATCGTCATCATCTCCAATATCGGTATAAAGCCTTCATTAAAATTACCCACAAATTACCCACAGCAATAAATGTTGCAATTTCAATGATCTGAGACCCGGAATGGATATGCTTTGGAGCGAAAGTCTATATCAGCGAGTTTAGAGACTCATTATATATATATATATATATATATATATAACGGAACAAAAGGGCTTACTAAGAAATATAGATTCAGGTAGTCGGAGAACCCATTGTTTTTTGTTCAATTAGTTGCGGCCCAACCGGTTTGGATGCCTACTCAGCAAAATACTTATTTCTCCGAAAATAATTTGAATTTTGGAAAATTCTCTCGTATACATATTCTTAAAGTTAAACTATGAAAATATGAAAAAAACTGTTTTTTTATTTCTAGACCAGAAAACCCCCTTAAATTGTTAAACGGTGCATGTACAGCATTTGATATATATTTCGAGTTTAATAACCTTTAGCGTCAATTTAAGAACATGATCACCAAAACGATAAATTTCCACACTCCCAGTCATCTGGATGTCAAAAATATTTGGAGGCCCAGAAGGTACTTTTGACTGAAGGTCGTGCTTATTTAGATAATATGTGGGTCTGTATCACACGGTCAAACTTAACAGTTGAAAAGGAAATACTTTTGGAGCCGAAGAAAGCTAAATTTCTTTTTAAACATCTAACAAACGAGTTGAATACTCTTACGCTGAAATAAAATTACTGTTGTTATTTTTTTATCATTAATATCGATTTTTACTATATGTTTATTTAACTTATTTCGAAACTGCAATGCAGCATAGTAATTTAATTAATAATTAAAAATTATATATATATATATATATATACATTTAACATAAACAATTTAGGTCAGCAAAATGTGGCTTTTGACTTTTAAAGAGAAGGAAAATTCGTGAAACCGAAGCATGAGAAAACTCTAATTTTTTTTGTTGAAAACTCCTCTCCACCACTTGGAAGAAGGGGAGGGGGGGGGGTGGAAAAAAAAGGCATTGAGGGAGTCAATTTTTCACCCACTTTCGCTCTCTCTCTCTCTCGCATGAAAGAAACTCCAACGACACAACGCGCAGGCAGTGGCAGTGCTGGCAGCAACATTTTTCTTTTCAACTTAAAGAGACATATTTTACGGGCACCTTGTGGAGAAGTAAGCGCGCGGTTAACTACCCACGCGTCAAAGGGCTTTTACACACACAATTAAGGTGACATTTCTTCTCCCTGCCATTTCCCAAATCAGCGTGCACGCGCCTTTCTTTTTCTCCCTGGTTCCGTCTCTCACTCCTCTCCACCCGACTCGCGCCTTTTTAGAGTCACAAAGAAATACATGTGAGGAAGGAGGGGAAGGGAGGATTGTATTTTTAACTTCATCTCTCTTTGCATGGAGGCTGATTAGGGACAACTGTACGATTTCATAAAGCGAAAAGCGGTTTCCGGTTAGAGTTGTTTCAAAAAAGCGGAGAGGCGAGTAGAAACGAGAAGAGGGTCGAAGTGAGACAAGACGAGGTGGAGGGTTGAGATCTTTGGTCTCAGCATTTTTTTGCCGACTTTTCGTTTTCATGGGAACGCTCAGGTGTCAGTTTCTTTTCAAGCTTTGTCTAAATGCAAATTTCTAAGTTCCCCACGCCTTTTTACGTTACAAATAAATCTGATTAAAGCAGTGTTAAAAATAAACGAATTGGAAGGAATAAAATAGGAATGTTAAATTTGTAGCTGTGGTTGGGGGAAGAATTAAAATTCAATAATATTCTCATTAAACTACTGAAAAATATGAAATATGTCAATCAACAATTACCAAATGTATTCACTAGTTAATCTTTGATATTGGTTGCCTGTAAATTACCTTTTCTAGGTGAAGCTGTTTTGTTGAACCTTCGTTTAATTGACGTCCACCTGTTTACTTGATATTATTCAATTATACATCTAATAAAGATAATATAAATTCAGCCCATCAAAGCGTCACTGACGCTAGAAACTGAATTGATGTATGCATACTTTGAGTTCAGTTAGTGTGGAGTCGGTGCACATTAATGAATAATTGCCAATCGGTGGGAGACATTTAAACTTATTAATAAAAAAATGGTGGAATGCGAGTTTTCCTGTATCCCGGAATGATAATTGTCTACTCTGGGTGCGCAATAGACTTACCTCCACGTGGTACACCCTGGGCAATGTATACTCGTACGGCAAAAAAGTGTATTAACTGACAGTTGAATTCTCACTTCAAACTACCATCACCCCACTGTTTGTCATATTCGACCACTTCCGCAGTACTCATCTTACCTTTTCTCTACCCTTGTGTCCCCCTGTCTCTTTTACATCTGTGAATCACTCTTCTGTTCCCCCTCCCCTTCTCTTTTACGTCTGTGAATCATTATTCTGTCCCCCATCTTGCTCTTTTACATCTGTGAATCACTCTTCTGTTCCCCCTCTCCACCTTTTGTGACTTTGATGTTGCTCCCATTTGTGAAGTCCGAAGTCAGCTATTGGGCTAATGATAGCTGTCAAAACGCCTGCCATTCGAAATAAATTAATAATTGTCTACTCAACATGTGGTCTCAAAAAAATTTACCCCACCAAATCACTATTGTTAAATGAAAAATTGAGCAAATATATTCAACAGATGTTCACGTAGCAAGGCGTTAGGCTAATTTTTCGGCGCCTATCTGTCACATGCCATTTTAGCAAAGATTTATCAACCGGACGGCATAAAATTACAAACACTTTCGTTGCGCATTCTTTGGGAATAATCCCTAGCACGACAATGTGCTTTTCAGCGTTCCTCTTATAAACTCAGTTGCTGTGGAAACGAGATCAGTATTTCATGATCTCTAATGGTCTACCTATCATAAGAAAATGTATATTTACAGCTTTTATGCAAACTCGAGGATCTGTTTGCACATTTGCAGTGAATTTGTAATGAAATCATCCATAGGGTTAAATTAAATTACTCCCATGAGTTGAAAATTGATACTAATTGTATGCAATCAAAAATTTCCATCGCGTGCTATTTTTGAACACACGTTTACATAGAAAGCCTCCCATCATTTAAGTGTGTGTTAAATTACGAACAAATTTTCGGTTTTACTGAAACTGTGCGTTAGGAAATCATTCCGTTTAGTTAAAATGTCTAAAATGAATTCTTCCTGTCATTTACAAATGATTCATTCAACCATTTTCTTCTTATTTTTTTCCATTTCTTGCTCCTCGCCTGAAAAAAGGGCAATCACATGTCTCCTTTCGGCTGTAATACATCTTCGCTCGCTTGATAATGACAAGTGTGTGGGCTCGAGTGGAATAGGTCTGCTGTTCCAGTTTCACGGCCGAAAGCCATCATCATCTGACATCGCTTCTTGCTTTTGCCTTGCAGGCTCTTTGGAGCCTGTTGAAGAATATAACTGGAGAAAAAATAGAATTCTGGAAACAATTAATAATTCTAAGGATAACGCGTCACAAAATAATTAAATATTCGGACTGAGAATTGCATTTTTATTGCGATAGATGCTTATTAATGACATCAAGTGTAACAATCTATTATTTATTTGCAAAATTTGTATTACAGACAAACAGAATCATTCAGGGTGATGTATTTTTCGCTTGAAAGGCAGCTTGATATGGAAGATTTATGTAAGTACCAAGGGAAAATCTTGCTATTGATCTTGAAAATCTCTCAGTTTATTCAGATTGTTCGTGAAGCATAGCACGGTACTCTATAAGTGAATCCTTGGTTATGTTATTTTCTACACTAAAATCGTGTAAACCTTTCATTTGCTTAACCGTTGATCTTATAGCTTGCAGCAAATTGCTAAAATTAGATGTTATTCGAATTATCTAGTACCAGTAAGTATGTCAACTGCGAGGTGATATTTTTATACTCAGTATCTTCCTTTTTTGAATATTCGAAATCAACCCCAGAAGGAGTTCTGCATTTTCGACTTACTTTTCCAACAGCCGCCCTTTAGGTATTCATCGACAGGGGGAATGAAAGCTCTTACTAACATGTAAAACAAAGACGCATATCTCCTTTATTGTTACCGATTAATTATAAGTCCAGCCCACTAATAGTCCCCTTCATTCTTCTGTCGCTCTTTTCATGTCTACGCGACAACAACGAGACCAGACGACACAGAAAATGAGACGAGACGAGGTTACTAATGGTGCCGTAGTATTTATGCGATGACAATTAGGATGATCGCTCCCACCACCCCCCAACATTCTGCGTTAGCTTGCCTGTGTTGGGAGAGAGGAGGATTGATTGATTAGTTGACTCTCTTAATCCTCATTATCATTACCTCTTGCCAGATAGTTAGAAAGAAGAGGTGTCTGAATCAAATGCGTCGTCTAGACAACTACATACGCTCCAGAAGAGCGAACTAGACAGTAATAAAATGGGCACCAGACGGGTGAGGATCGGGAGACACAAGCGCCCGCACTTATTCTCTCTGCAATCACAAAGTAGCCGCTGAAATCTTCCATCTGAATGACGAAGGTAGGGTGGGGTCGCTGGCCGACTGTACACAAGCGCAGAGGCAGACACCGACGCAGACAGAGGTGATATCGCGCATCATGGTATCTATCGCGAAAGATGATGGGGATGGGGAGGGAGGGGTGAAGAGCCGTGATAGAGTTGTAGAAAAATCCCAGATAAAGGGTGTCTGAAAACTCTGTCTCACTCCATTCAAAAGATTTAAGCACCACCGTTTATCCAGAGAGCAGAAAAAATACTCATCTATTTGCAAAGGCGCAAATCCCTATTTAGTCAACAGGGCTTATAGCGAAGAACATTCTTCATCCAAGCAGAAGATTTAATAATGTGTTTGAACGTCAAATATGCTTTAAATGAACTAGAAGTCGATTTCCAGAATATATGTAGCTGGAGAGATAATTTCATCGAGTCGCCAGAGTGGAAAAATCGAGTTTTATCATTTATTTGCATCAAATTGCAAGCGTTTTGCTGGTTATTATCAGCCCTTTAGTTCACTTCGGGCTTCACAGAGGGGGGGGGGGAGGTGAAGGAACATTAAAGTCATAAAATGTCGAGAGGGGTAACAGAAGAGAGGTTCACAGATGGAAGAGAGATTGACAGGCACAAAGGTAGAGGAAAAAGTAAGGTGAGTTGAGTATTGTGGAAGTAGTCGAATATGACACGCAGTGGGGTCATGGTAGTTTGAAGTCAACTGTCGGTTTATTGGCTTTTTGATGTTTGAGCATACGTTACCTGGGGTGCACCACGTGGAGGTTAGTCTGCCGCACACCCCGAGTTTTATCTTCGAATCCTCAATTTGTCTGAACGTTGAAATTGCTGAAGTGAAATAAGCTCAAGGTTTCCAATTTATATAATACAATAGTTTTTCCTCAAATCGAATTTTATTACACTGGCCATCGAATGCTCAATCTATGGGCAGGATCTCACTACTTTAATTAATGTAAGTAGTACCTGGTTCCGAAGTCAACAAACATTCGGGAATTTCCAGATACAAAGCACCTTCAAGCCTAGTTCGTTTATTTGTCTATGAACAGCAATAAGCGTGTCCCATTTTTTGTTGAAAAAATAATGTGTTATCTTTCCCATAAATACACAAATATATGCGTTTGTGTGATGCTTTTGCCGACTAACGTATCAATCCAAATTGATACTTCTCGTCTCATCTCTCTCTCCCTGCCTCTCTGCCTCTCTATATCACTCAGTGTAGCGAAATACGTTTTAACGGAACTAAAGAATAATTGAATCGGAAAGTAAAAAGATCTTTCATTATAATTTTTTCATCTTAATCATAAAATAGTGCTATTTGTGCTGAATAAATTGTTATGCTAAGTATGTCAAATAGATCAGAAACAAACTACTATTGATAAGTAAAAGTATGATGTAAAATTAAATTTTATTCCTATACATAAAAAAATGTATTTATTTGCTTCCCACTTTAATGCTATCCAATTTGTATTAGTAACATTGTCTTTATTTCAATCCAAAACGTACGCAGCTTAGGGAAATATCAAATTGATTTCAATTTAATTTATGTCTATAACAATTAACATCTATAAATTTATTTTAATTGACCTTCCAAAAACTATTGGCGATAATAAGAATGCGTGAGACAATCTTTTATGTCAACTTTGTGATTTCTAATAGTGATTTTTAAATTACTTTACAAATAAGCGATTTTTTCTTTCAAGAACAAAACTATGCATTTGTGATGTTAATTACTTGTTCTCTAATTTGTCATAGTCTAACTCCGGAAGTTTAAACATTAAACTTCAAAGAGACTTTTTCCTCCCTTGTATTTGATTAATTCTATTTGCGAAATTTGCAACCACGGCAACAAGCTACTGTCACAGACACAGAGGGCAGTGTCAAAACGCAGGGACTGTCTGCGTAAGTTTGGCCGAAAATATGCCTCACGAAGAGGACGAGACAAAACGATACAACTTCCGTAGTGAAGGGGATGAGGAGTGGGACGGGCTCAACCGAAATTACTGGAGAGTTTATTCTATTTTCGCCGACTGGGACGAGACAGAGGAATGTCGCGTCAGAGGTGCGACTACACACACGCACTCTTATCTCTCACTCTCTCTCTCTCGCCAACATGTTTCTATATGTCGGCCTCGATTCTACGAATGCGTCGTCATTCACGCAGCCTTTCCATCTACCATCTCTCCTCCCCCCCTTCCTGTCCGTCGCGTTTCATTCTTCTCACCTCCCTTTCGTTCATATCCCTTTCGTCTCTCCGCTTTCCCCTATCTCTATTCCTAGGCAAAAGGGCGAAGGGGCTAGAGCTGTGTAAATACGCGCACGTAGCCGTGTCGCGGCGGTAATTGGACAATTGGCGCGAAGCACGCGTGCTCTCATTCGCTAGCGCAGGTGGTGTTGATTAACACGGTTTCTCAATCCATTCTTCATCTCGCACTTTATGGCTATTTTAATCTCCACTACTTACTACATTTTAAATGCTGCATAATATTAATAATAGTAAATTATAATTATTTATTGTCTTTTTCAAATTTTCAAAGGCTAAATACATAGTATTAATTCCCTTAAAATCCTATGGTATTAAATATTTTACCTTCTTACAAAGATACATTTACAGAATTAATTCCTGATTAGAAAGTTAACCAGTATGAATTGAGTAAAGATGGGTAATTTATGGGCTTGTTTTCATTGTTGTTTGTCACTTATCACTGCAATACAGGGCTGCTAAATCCTGGTAGAATCTTCAAAAGCCTGCACTGGAACAAAACATGGGACAATGTCCGAAAAGTGGGTTTGTAGTGAGTAGTCAGAATGATGATGGCGGTATATCTTTGATGTCCTAATGCTCTACCACTCGTCTTCTCTCTCTCTCTCTTTCTTCGAGTATTATTGTTTGTTTTTCTTTCAGCATGGCACATCAACTCTCCCTTTTGCTTTGATGCCAGAAGATTGCATTCTAGGGTAGTTCTAACCTCAATGTCTCTGGAAAACGTGGGTCTATTGCCAGAAATTCAACACTTGAGGAGCTGACAAATAGAATTAATGTTAATATTAAGCTTGAAAATCTAACCGGAAGACTCAATTTCGCAGTAAAAGAGAAGGGTTGTCTTGAATATTGCACATTTATTCCTCATACATGAATTTATAGACTTTAGTATACTGACTTTCGCTAACGGCAAATAAATATTTTCTCTAATACTAGTAACTGTTTCTTCAAAGCCCATCCAAAATGTTGGACACTCCAAAAATTGAATTTTCTTTTGGTTTATGATTCTAGTTGATTTCATTTCAACTTCATATTAGTCCTATAATTATTCAAACAACCTCATGCAATTAAAAAAAACCAGTAAATAAACTGGTATTAATAATCAGCCTATCAAATCAAAATTCTTACTTTAAATTTGCATCAATTATACGAGCTGATTAGTGGTTCAGCAGACAAATGCATGTCAATTAATGACAATTTAATTAAACAGCGTTTCTATTTTCTGAGCGTAGTAAACTTACTTCATTGTTACAATTAAGCATTTTATAATGTTCAACTTTAGATCTGCAAGAAGTGCCAATGACAGATTAGCCATTTTGTGAGGTAATAGAAAATGTGAATTTTTATATGCTTAGACCGATCAAATAAATCATATCAGATCTTCCTGATATAATAATTGAACATAGAGTAAAATATTAATCATTGTGAATCTATACAGATTGCAATAATTGATAAATTCCCAAAAACAAAGATTAAGTGCATAAACGTTTCAGAAAGGTGCTTTAAGTAGCGAAGCAAAATTACCGTTGGTGCAAAAACAGATCATTTCAATAATATATATGATAAATCTTCTGCTGAAATAAGCTACACGTATATTATGATTGTTGCCAAATTAATATCATCAGTTACTAAGGCGATGCTTCTTTCCTCTTCAGTGGCCTTGAAAGCATTTGATTTAATCGTACTAAACTTTGCATTTTTCTGTAGTAACTGACATTTAAATCAAGACGAAAGGGTGACAAGCCAAAACTAAATATTGGTCCTTAAATCAATAAAAAATATTCAAAAGTTGAAAAGAACAAAGGAATATCCTGTGTTCTCCCTTTCACCGAAATAAGTATTTACAACCTAGTATTAAGTTTCATCGCATAATTTCTAATTAATCTTCATTGTCTTTTTTAATGTTAACCTTCTATAAGAGTAGAATATTCTTGACAATAAATTTAAATATTTCATTTTTTCTAATTTGTGTCTTTATTATTGGGACAAAGACAAATGGAATGAGAAACGAAGGCTATTAGTTCTCGCGCATATATGAACTTTATGCAAATTATGCTTGACATTCCATTTCAAGCATGTCCTTAACCAAATAAACGCGTATTTGCTAAAAAAATTCAATGCATAAATTGCAAACAAAAGTGCCAAGCATTTTCATTAGTATTCAACTTTACTTCCTGTGTAATGCGTTCCATTTCCGCACCCCTCTCATCGTATTAGCCAAATAGGCGTGAATCAGATGAAATGGCTCTTTTTTGTCCACAAATCAAGATATGGTCCTTTCCTTCAAAGAGTCAAAAAAAAAACAACTTAATCTTCAAGCCAAGCAGAAATTCTAGTTCATTGTACTTTTATGAAGGTGTTAATTGAAATTTCAACTCATTTCTATTGAGAACGCATGAGAAATCAGGATCAAGGGTCTAGTTTTGTGCTACAATCGTTCATCATGAGTTGGATCTAAAGTGGTTTGAAAGATTTGTTCTAAGGCGCCTCAGTTCGTGATCTCAGGTTGGAATCAAGAAATCGAATCAACTTTAGCTTCCTGAAAATTACACACTGAAGAAGCACACCTTTAGTGAGAAAGTGGCTAACTCAACGCTTCCAGAATTGGAAACAATCCAGACTACTAAATTCACTACTTAACAAATTAGAATACAAAATTTTTCCCATTTCACCTGTCTTATTAATATTAAAAGTTATTTGCTATTTGGAAATTACCCTGTAGATATTATTATTTGAGATAAAACAATGAATGGAAAAACACCAGAGATCCAAATAAATCAATAAAAATCTTTTATTGATTTATTGCCTTGGACGAAATGAAATAATACAACGCCTCTTTTGTTAGTTCTTGAGAAGATTATATTAGTTACAGTTGAGACGTTATTTGGAAGATGAAATATAAGGTTAATTTGAGTAGGTACTAACAAAAGTCATTTGAAGTTTTACGGAATAACTTTAAAAAGAAATGTTTCAGTTTATAAAAAGATGTTTCGCATGAATAGAAATAAAAATGTGATAAAAGACTTCATGTAAATGACATTGTACTTATTAAACCAGAACAGGCCAGAAAATGGCTTAGAATTTCAAGGGCCTATTATCTGGTAGTTGGGAATACAAGCACTTTCTCAATAGGTCGGTTCGATAAATAGAACCGTTTACCAACACACCCTACTTGAAGTTCTGCCAACACGATGCTTAGCAGGAAAGAAAAGAGAGTGAAATTTGGAACTCCAATCTAGGGGGGTCTAGGATTTTGATCTGTGCTTCCTAATACCAATTTTTCATGATGCATTTAATACTCTCTAAATTCTATGGAAGTTCTTAGAATATTTTACTGATTAACAGTTTTTTCCTCGAAGGGAAATAGAAATTACCATACTTCTCTTAATTGTTTGCTTAATAGTAAGTCTATTGATGCCAATGGGACATCATAGTGAATATAATTAAGTAAACATTAAGATCAACAAAGTTTTCGCATGGCTTCATAAATATTGTCCAGTTTGCAGGATAGCAGGAAGCGTGAATCGTGACTTTTCAAGACTGAGTGATCGGATCTATTCCGTTTTGAGAGTGGTGGAACGACTAACTGTTGTCATACCTTTCAAAATTTTTTTATAAACATTAGATTTTTTCGAATTGGAATTCGAAGCTGATATTGACCATGCCTGAGATTCAACATACTTGTAATGTGGATAATGACTTAGAATTGAGAGAAAATATTGGCAATAAGAAAAAAGAACTAAAATTTACTTTAAAATTTTCGCCACGAATTTATAGTTCACAACTATTGACCAATCCACTCATTCGATTTTTGTTTTAACTAATGAAGCGATCGAAGAACATTAAATAATCGCCACATTAAATCACCTTCCCCATATGTTACTGTATTTCGATTAAAACTCATGCATTTATTGACACGAAACATCAAAGAACGGAACGCAAGTTGGGTTGTGGCCTGAATCGCCTTTATCTTGCCGACGCCACTATTATAAACAGTGTAGTTCCATTGTTTCGTCGTCCAAATCGCACTTTGTTATTTCTCACACTCGTGTCACAACTTTCAATTGACAGGTTTTATAGCCCCCTCTTGGTCCACTCTAACCTGGTCAGTGTAAATTTCCAACAATTGTATCAGAGAATTACAAAGTTTTCAATTACAGTTGGCAAGCGGAGCACTTTGTAAGGTAAGTCCATAATGTGCTCAATGTTTCCCAATCACAATTATGAAAGCCCGAAATTGGGAAATCTACCTTGGAGTTGGCAAACTCGCATATAACACTTCGTTTGTTCACTAGAATTAACCAGTGTGGTCTTATTGGTTCGTTCTCGTAACCCCCGACTAACGGGTCATCTAACCTGATCTGTTCAAATTTCAGATATTTTATCAGAGACAAACGAAAATTGGGAAAATTTAGTGCACTTCAGAATTTTTCAGCTTCAATTATGCTAACCCGAAAGTTTGATAGATGAAACTTGAAAATATGTGGTAATGTTTGAGCCAAATGAGCTTTTTTATCTCATTTCTTTCGATTTGGCTATTTGTTTAGATAATGCCTGATTTCCCCTATAACAGGCCAACAGGTGGATGCCAGACAAAATGTATTACCGTCAGAGGGACTTCGACATGAACGGTTATAGCATTTCACTCATCTACTTTTAATCTTTTCCTCAGAGATCTGACGTTCGATAAAATGCATTCGGGATGTTTGTCAGTACATGACAATTCACCGGCTTTCGTGAGACTTGGAACATTCCAAAATGGGACATTCGATGTCGAGGACACTGGAACTGTTATTTCCCAAATACAGGAACAAAATTTTGTGTGAGGATCGAAACAGAACAGTTTCAACTGGCATTTTGTCACATTTTAATGGCATTAGGATTTGCAAATAGATTGTGAGAGTCTGGAATTCAGAAATATGGTGTGAAAATGAAATCATTGAATAAAATAGAAACAGGAAACTCTCTCTCTCTCTCTCTCTCTCTCTCGAAAGAAGGCGAAGGGGTCGAATATTAG